GCCTTTCATATAAAAGGACTGAAAGGGGCATTATTTAGATGCGAAAATTAAGATTCCAAGTATATTCTTAGAATCAAACAAGAATGTTATGTCTAGGATGCATATTGAGAATGATATAATAATATGTAGACATATTTTAAGAATATTTCAAGCATATTGGTATAATATTCTTTTGAGAACATAACTATAATGTCATACATTCATTGAATGTGAGATTATACATTTCAAGAATATTTTTAGAATCAAACAGGAATATTCTTTTCAGGATGTACTGAGAAACTCATAGGTATATTCTAGGAATATCTTAATGGATTTCCCAGGAAGTTCTTGGGTATTGTAAACAGTCTTTCTACAATCTTTTCTCAGAACATTCTCAGGACATTCGCAATGGTTTTGGCGAACATTCTATGCACATTTCTCCTAAAAAAAAACATTCCCAGTACATTTTAAGGATGCAATTTTGTTATGTGGGGTACAGATTCAATCTTTTCGGATCCAGGTTTGATTCCTTCATAGGAGATTCCATGTCCCAGATAATTTATTTGACTCAAGAGAAATCTACATTAATTAAAACGTAATGTCATATTGGCTTCACGTAAGAGTTCTAGAACATTTTCTAAATTCGTGAATCCATTTTTTTCGTCCGATGATGGTATCAAAATATCATCTAAGTACGCCATAGCGGTAGCATAACGTAAAGAACCTAGAATTTTATGAATTGCTCTCTGAAAGACTGCAGGCGCATTTACGAAACCAAATGGCATAGTTACATACTCGTAATGGCTATCGGGGGTTATGAAAGATGTCTTTTCGGGGATAATACCACGAGAGCTTCAAAATTACCGATAATTTTTCACAAATGCGAAATGCAAAAAATAAGGAAAAAATATGGTTGCTAACAGGATCCATTTGTTTTAATTGGTACAAATAAATGACTGGTAACAGCAGCTGTTTGTTTGTATCAAAAATTAGTATGACAACCATGTATACAATAACATGGGAGAATTCTCGAATGTAATACCACAAGAGGTTTCAGGATTACCGAATAATACTATTACTGTTACGAAACGCGTTACGCAGCAACACCACGACTCCGAAGGAGGAGTGGTGTTGCAAGTAACGCGTTGAGTGTCAGGTAAAAGTATTAGGTAATCCTGAAACATCGAGTGGTATTCAAAAGGTTCACAACGAACTATACTTTAATGCTTTAAAATTTTTAAAAAAATCTATATAGAAATCCCAAAAGGCTTATCACTTATTAGGCCTTTCGTGTCATATGGGAATAATGTAAAGTGAGTTGTATAATCGCTGTATTTCTCTCTAGTTAAACTAATGGAAAAAAGAATTTCCGCTGTAATTTTGAAAATCGTCACTTGTCTTATGGGATTTCTAACACATGAGTGGAATAATCGAATGTAATACCACAAGAGATTTCAGGATTACCGGATAATACTTTTACCTGTCACGAAACGCGTTACGCAGCAACACCACGACTCCGAAGCAGGAGTGGTGTTGCTGGAAACGCGTTGAGTGTCAGGTAAAAGTATTAGATAATCCTGAAACATCGAGTGGTATTCAAAAGGTTATACAACGAACTAAACTTTAATACTTTAAAATTTAAAAAAAATTCTATAACAGAATTTGCCATAAATGCCACCAAGCGCGATAATCCCAAAAGGCTTATCACTTGTTAAGCCTCTAGTGTCATATGGGAATAATGTATAGTGAGTTGTATAATCGATAGAATTCGAGGCAACTGGCACCTGGTGATATTCAGAAGCAAGATCTAAACTAGTAAAGTATCGAGCACCTTTGAGCCCATCCAGTAAATCATCAATGCGCGGCAGAGAATATTTATCCTTATTAGTTTTAGCGTTCAAAGCACGATAATCTACACACATAGGCGATTCGCCGTTCTTGTTGCGCACCGATAAAATTGGACTGGCATAAGGAGAAGAAGATTCCATGATAATTTAATTGTCAAGTAATTCTCGAACTATGTCTCTAACTTTTTCCCGCTCAGCGAAGGCTAAACGATATGGTCGATAAGTAACAGGTGTTCTGTCATTGAAATCAATGCAAATTTCAGCAATATGAGTTTTCCCTAGTTAAGACATACTTGTAGCAAAACAATATCTGTATTTAATAAGCAAAGAAAGAAGTTGCATTTTTGTGCTTGTATCGATGTCAGTCCTGACAACATTTTCTAAATCTTCTAAAGAAAAACCTTTCATAGATTATTGACTTATGGAACAAACATTTACTTCATCAAAATCACTTTCAGGATTACACATTAAACCTCGTGTTACTACTCGATCTTTTTCATAATACACTGGATATTCTGATGTGTTTAAAATCGGCACTAAACCTCTTTTCGACAGATCGGTGATACAACGAGGTATCACATGAAACTGATTAGGCCACGGCCTTTGTTGAAAATTAATGAATACCTCTTTGACATTTTCACTAGAATATAAGGAAATGTGACCAATATGGTTGAGTGGTATGACAGTAGTCTCCTTCGCCCATATAATAATGTTACGAGGAGGCAAATTATAAAGTTCTGGAACTGGCATATTATTCGAATTAAAAAGTCTAACCTGATCTCCACGTGTCACCATGATTATATTTGGGTGATTAATAAAAGGCTGTCCAACAATTATTGAAACATTTTGTGTATGATCGGGTACAACGAGAGCTTTAACTGTTGCTTTAGCCAGATCAACAGTTAGATCAATGACAACTTTATGGTTTACAATTAAAGAACCTCTTGCAAATCCACTCAGACGCTTCTGTACAGGATGTAGTTGTAACCCTAAAGCTTTGTCGTCAGATGCACGTAAAGTAACGACACTACTGCCGGAATCGACATATCCACGTGAAATATTCTGATTTATAGAGCAATCGATAAAGTAACATACATTTATCTCACAATTATTTTAAGCAGTTTCTATATCAAAAATAGGTTTGTAGAAGTTTTTCTTTGGGCAATTATTTTCTTCGTGTCCCAATAACTTACATTTGCTACATTCCTTCCTAGGCTTTGAACAAGCTATATGCCCTCGTTGACCACAATTGAAACACTTTGTTTCAAATTTATTCAGCTTATTTATTATGTTTTCTCAAATCTGAAGACCATTTTAGCAATTTCACTTGCTTTGGATAAATATAAATATTTAGTGCTGACAAGTAATCTTCGCATAGGTTTTCTGAGTTTTGGTAACGTCCAGCTCTTGCACCATTTTGAATAACCGGATCATCTATCCCATGTATAAGGCGAGAAACTGCTTCTTTGCCAGAAACGCGGCAGCTTCTTAGGAGTTCCATTTTTGCAAAATAGTACGATGTCATCGATTCAGATAACATTTTCTTTCGATTCAGCATGGTTTGCAGAAGAGTCGCATAATCAGTATGGTCTGGAAAACTACGTTTAAGAAGAGTTTTCCATTCTTCCCAAGTTAAGTTGTAGTTAGGTAAACTATGGTTCCATGTTTTTGCGATGCCCACCAATCTTGACTACATGTGGGTAATTGTTGTAATATCGTCACAATGGTTGATGGCTTTTAATTGATCAATCTTGAAAAGCCACTGTCGTGAAGTCAAATTATCGTTTTCTGGCAAGAATTCAGGTACACAATCACTTTTTACAGTTAATCCAGGCACTTCAGATCTACTTCCAAATGATTGTGTTTCTCTAGTTAATTGTTTGACCATATTTTTCAGCCTTTGGATTCGTTCTTGCGTTGTATCAAAATTATTTTCTTCGGGAGGATTCGAAATATATGGACATGTAGCTGAAGTTGCTGTTAGAGTTAGACACCTGAGCCTCAACAACTCGAGACCTTACATGATTTCGTGAAGTTGGATGATCGAGTTCTGGACGTTTTCTTGATTCTGGCGTGTATATTCTGACGGTTCCGCTAATAGTTGATCCTGAAGGTTTTCTTGAATCATTTTTACGTGTTATAGAACGAGAGCACCGCAATTTAGAACGTCTCTTAGAGGTAAATTGATCATCAGACGATTTGGAACGTTTTCCATCACGCGATTTCGAACGTCTTCTTGAATTTTGTAAACGTGAACCTTGCCCTCGTGATTTCTTATTTCTATAGCGTTGAACGTCGCCATCTCTATCGCTCTCAGAATCCGAACTCGAAGTATTTGCCTTTTCCTCATCTTCCTAATAGTATTGAACAAAGTAGACACAAAACTCTAAATAAACTTGAACGCTTATTAAAGTTCAATTATATTTGAACAACAAACTGAACTCGCACGCGAATTACACCACACCTGAACTGTAAACTAATTTCAATTAAACTTCAACACGTTAACAATAAGAGCGTATATTTCACATTTTGTCTTGCCTCTCTATTAAGAATTTTTAACGCGGCTTTATTACAGCTTTTCTAATGTCTTCCCACTTTTTGTTAACATCACTGGAGCAGGTGTTTTCTTTGCATTGACTGTTGTTCATTTTGCACTGTTATTTCGGGTAGTTGCATCAATTCTTCCGAATCTTGGCTTATTGTCCAGGCCAGGTGATTATAATCCGAGGACATACTATCAGTTCCTGGATAAGTTGCTGCTGATGTAATATTATTTCAATACCGACGGTTAAACAAAATGTAATCCATTTGATTCCTTACGAAATTATCTTTTGGATTTCAATGTAATTTCCGTCGATTTTAATCTGATATGAGGAAGAAATGTGAGCTGGGGGCACCCTACATTAGAACGCCAATGGTCCCCTCGCTCCTCATACGGAAAGTGTCAGATAAAAATCGACGAGCAATATAGAGACAACGATTAGTCAATCTGGGGAATGTGTTGGGAACAATCTCCTTCCGCCAGCTGTCATATAAAACAGTTGGTCAATTTTGTGTTTAGATAACAGAAATCACAAAATGCACGCAATCGCCAATCATCACCATAATTGATCATATAATCATTTAATATACCTAACAGTATAAAATATTAAAATTCTTTCTCTTTCATTACAGAAGGAAAAGCGATGGCTACTGGGTATGACTGCAAATACATAGAGACCTCTGTCGGCATTAATCACAACGTCGACGAGCTACTAGTCGGTATCCTAACGCAGATTCGCTTGAAATTGGAGAATCCCGAAAGATCGCGCGACCTGTTCAGAAAACGAAGTTCTTCGAAAAAGAATTTGCATAGGAACCGATCGCCGGCATCTGGTACTGTCACGCCGACCACGGGAAGCGCACAAAATTCTCCCAAAAAATATAGAGGTAGGTTCAGGCCATATAGAGTTTTTTTTAACAGTTTGACAATTGTGTTTTCATGTCCTTCAACTTAAATTAGCGGATAGTTCAAGTGGAAACAACAAAGAGCTTTTTTATGAAAACCTAATTTGTTGAAGCCGTTTTTACTGTATCAAGCGAACTTTTGTATTTTTAATTTTTCTGTCAGCTTTGTAAACTATAAAATTTTTGAGAGAACCCATCGACCTACTGAATGATTTATTGTTAACTACAGTAAAGATGAATAATTAGTTCTTTGGGACCATATTTCGGGATGCAGTTGACTATTAGCAAAGACACTGGTGTGGATAATTGGAGGATATCCTAGAAGTGAGATGTTAGCACTGGCGTAGCCAGGGGGGGGGGCAAGCGGTGGGGCCGCAAGAAACACTTCCTGCAAATTTGCCCGCCCCCCCAAGACAAAATCCTGGCTACGCCACTGGATGTTAGCCTACTGAAATCAACATGAAAATTTGAGTTGTGAAGATTAGTTCATGTTAAATAGAAAACAGATGGTCAGTCTAAAAGTATTCAGGAAAATAGTATTACAACGTCTTCATGTTGGTCATCTAGGTATTATACGTTTTTAGTCGAAGCTTCTGAAAAGAGACTTTGCATTTGGAACTTTTACTAGCGCCTCCATTCGATGTATGTATGTATGTAGGTATGTGTGTTGGAGCTGTCAGTTGCACCGCGACTAAGGTTGATCTATTGTACCCCTCCAGTCCTAGGTCCTTTAGGAATTTTAGGATATCTAGCGGTTCCAGGGCTGGACTGTTTTCCAACTGTATAAGGGCACTTTCTAGGTTCTTCATCCGTGAGCGACAAACGGCATCGCAATTCAGAAGAAGATGGTCAGGTGTCTCTTCTCTGTCTTCACAGAATCTGCAGATGCCACCTTCTTCTAGCCCCAACTTCTGTAGGTGTTTCTTGAGTCTGCAATGTCTCCAGAGAAATCCGGTTAGAGTCTGGAGACTTTTTTTACTAAAGTTGACCAGCAGTTCTAATCCTTTCTACCAAGGTGCGTTTTCCTTTGTAAACCTATTTTCTCCAGTCTGAGACATGATCCACTGGCAACCCGCTTCACTATTATGTGGAGTGGTGTGATGTCTAGAATAACTTCTAGTTCCGCGGTTATACAGAGACATGCGAGTCTTTGCACTTTTCCTAGGGTTTTCCTAGCTGTTACTAGCTGGGTTTGGCTATACCAGGCTACCGCTCTGTAGGTGATGATAGGTCTCACTATCATGGTATACATCCATCTTAGGATTGATGGGTTACAACCCCATATTTTACCTGCAATGTTTTTGCAGACCATTAGTGCCGAAATTACTTTGTTTTTTGTTCTCTCTACATGTCGATTCCAGAGAAGTTTAGAATCTAGGGTTATTCCTAGGAATTAATCTTCATTTTTCCAATCAAATCTGCTTCCATCGAGGCTAATGTTTCTCAGGTTTGGGGTTTCGTTCTTTTTGTAAATGTTACCAGTGTGGTTTTCGCTGAGCTTAGAATCAGCCCCACTGTCTGACATCATTCCTTCATGGTTCGAAGTGCTTTTTCTATAAGGTCGCAGAGTATTCCTTCGTATTTGCCTCTGGCCATGATGACATTATCATCGGCGAATCCAAAGCAGGTGAAGCTCTGATCGGTCAGTAAATATAGGAGGTCATCAACCACTAGACTCCACATCAAAGGTGAGAGTACCTCTGCCTGCGGACATCCTTTAGTGGTGGTGATCTGTATGGTTTATTCACCCACGTCAGTTTCTGTAGTTTTGGTGGCTAGCGTTTCGCACATCCATTTGGATGTGGTTTTGTCCACTCCTTTTTTGACGAGCGCGTTCTTCATTGACTCATGAGAGGTGTTATCAAATGCCTTCTTTATGTCCAAGAAGGCGCAGACGGCTACTTCTTTATTATGCAATGTGCTTTGAATGCTGTCAGTGAGTTCAAGTAAAACGGTTTCTGTTGATCTGCCCGCTCTATAAGCATGCTGCCCAGGATGTAGTGGCGTCTTTCCTAAAAGATTTTTTCTGATATAGTTATTTACAACTTTCTCAGCTGCTTTAAGCAAGAACGACGTGAAGCATTTAGGTTGAACGACTCTGGAGAGTGGCGTCTCTTTTCCCTGATGCCTTTGGGATGAAAGTTACTTCAGCTCTTCTCCATTGACTGGGTCTGTATCCGGTCGCTGAGCTGTTAATATCTCATGAATTTGATTAGATACGGCATGATTTGATTTTGCTGTTTTTGCAGCAGGGCTAGAAAGATGCCGTCAACTCCAGGCGCTTGAACGGTTGGAACGAGTCGATTTTTTTCTTGCCTGGTTTTTCTGGGACGTCCTTTGTTTTTTTTAGTATCATTGCCATTGGGTGTGCTTCCTGGAAAGTGAGTTTCCAGTAGTTTGTGTAACTACCGTCCGGTTTCTTAAGTGTCAATGGGGCTTTCGCCAGGGTTTTGTATAATCTGGCTGCTGATGGTGTTTCTGTGATAGATTCACAGAAGTTTCTTGTGTATTTTTCCTAGTTCGTATTTCTGGGGTTTCTATACGAGGTAATTCGTTCCTGCACTCATTTTACGTCAAACATTATGATTCAGTGATCAGAGAGAGAGGGTTCATTGAAGACTGTCGAATTCCTGATCATTTGGTTAATATTTGGACTACAAAGTGTTGTCTAACACTTCCTGTCAGAACCTAGTAACAAATGTTGGTGTATTCCCTATATTTAGTATATTTAGGTTTGTTTGAAAGATAAATTCTAACAGCTGCTCACCTCTTAGATTTGTGTCGATACTTTTCCAGATGGTGATGTTGGCGTTGGCCAATTAGAAGCGGTAGTTTGTTCCTGTTGCAGTATCCATTCGATGATGTTTTCGCTGATTTATCTCGCTGTTGCTAGAAGAAGTTTATGTAGTTAGTATATTGATGGTTTATCAAGTTGGCCTACCCTATGCGAAACTGGACGTGAGGATCCTCATAGTCAACAAATCATGTGACAAATATCTGCAAATATATTGGAGTCTTCTTATCAGGATGTTCTCATCCACTCACTTTTTTCATCAATCTTCCGAATGTCTGTTTCTAGTATCTTCATATACAGGGTATCCCAGGGAAAACAGGCACCCTGAAAATCTTTGAACACAAATTTTCTAGCGGAAAACGGCCGGACACGTCAAATTTGATATTGAGGGGGCATGTTATGACATAGTATACCTGCGTTTCTCTCCCTTCATCCCTCTACCCTCCAGAGCCACCCCATGCTTTTTTTAAATGGGGAGAGGGGTTGGGTGATACCTTGATTGAAAGGTAATTTTATTGTCCATGATCCTGTTGTTGTTTTTTATTTCTATTGGTTTGTTCTTAAGAAATATGGATGATCGATTCATATTAATCCAGGTAATCAATTGTATTAAAGAAAATAAATAGTTGATAATTATATTGAAAAAAGGTCGAGAGATATCTAGCAGGCCATCCTACGGTACCTCTCCAGCCAATCCATCGTCTACGAAATTCTTCATTCAAAAACTAACGAATGGGAGCAGCGTATAATGTGGATGTGTCCCATCTTGCTGTAACATCAATTAATTTTTTAGAAGGTTATCATCTTGTTCAAGTAATTCAGTTTGTTGCAGGCCTGCTAGATCTCCTGATCTTACGCCTTTGGATTTTTTCTTATGGGGACATCTAAAAACCAATTGTATTTCTGTATGAAGTTCAATGGAGAACATTTTTATCATTCAATATAAGAATTGTAAAATTTTTATTTTCTTCATTAAAATTAATATTTAGACTGAAAAAAATAAAAAACAAAGACAGGGTCATGTAGAGAATAAAACCTTTCAATTAAGGTATCCCTCAACACCTCTTCCCATTTGAAAAAATTCATGGGATGGCTCTGGAAATAGCTATATGTCATAACATAAACCCTCAATATTAAAGTTGACGTGTCCGGCCGTTTCCAGCTAAAAAAATTATTTTCAAAGATTTCCAGAGTGGACGGTTTTTCCTGGGACAGCCTGTATAGAAGCTGGAGTACCTGTTTGAATAAGATCAGACAAAAGTCGTTATCTAGGATTCTAATATTGTCACAATCTTTTTGTGGCGGGGGGTGTAGGGTGGATGGATGGAGAGAAACTCGCTCAGTTTATATAAAAATATGTATATTTGCTATACGAAATCCTTAAATATTTTTCCAGGATGCATGCCTCTTCTTTGCCGAGTCTGATTGGATCACACGTCGGACACTATTGAGGAAAGTCGGTTTACTAATGTAACGTTGATTGCTAATAGTTGTTTAACTGATCCACATCTCGGGTTCTTCTTTCCTAAGTAGCTAGTTGACAATATATATATTTTTTTTCATGCCGAAGCTTTTCAAAGTTTTAAAATCTCATCATAAAATATTTTAAAGACATTAAGATCGATAAGGGAAAATATTATTGGAGACAGAAATTCTCCCGGATAAATTCAGTTGAAATCCGTAGTATTCATAAGCGTTTTCTCAAATTGCGGAATAAAATGATTCAACAACAATAAAACGATAGAAAAGAAATTATTGAGAAGTATAATTTGAGCGCCCAAGATTTATATCCAATTCCATTAGGATTAAAATGTTGATTGCAAAATCCGATTTCGGGACATTGTAACAATATTGTCAACTAGCTGCTTGGGAAAGGAGGACCCGGTATTTAACCTTATTAATTTAATTGCCGATTCGATCGGATGTTTATTGCAATTCAGCAATAAATTGATATAAATTGCGTTGCAAGCCGCAGCAAAGGCAGACTTAAACCAGTGCAAGTACCTCTCGTTGGAAAAGCCCCTCTGGAATTAAGTCTCCCCAGTGCAAGTACCTCTCGTTGGGAACGCCCCTCTGGGTATCTTCAGCCTTATCGTTGTCAAGTGCAATTGCCTCTCGTTGGGAACGCCCCTCTGGACAAGGCATAAGGGTGACGATAAACTTATCTACAGTCCCCCAAGCAGCATTGACGTGTGGCCCCCTATAAGGACCCCAGTGTTCGAAGGGTCGTGTATCTTATAGGATTGGCGTACATGTAAGGTTATATTTGGGAAAATATATATCTATATTTTTATATAACCTGAGCGAGTTTCTCTCCATCAACCCCCAAAGCTACAAACCCCCCATGTCACCCCCGTAAAGCGGGCAGTTGTGACAATATCGGTGTATTAATCCAGACGGAAATATACAATTAATACTTCCTGTACAAGGATATTCTAGAGGGAAGCTAACATTACTGAAACCGATACAAAGCCAGACCTGAGATGAAAATGGGAAGAGGAAAATGTGAAAAATTTTACCTATTTTTATTTTTGAGTCTTTGCCACTTTCCAATAATGCATTATTGAGATGTCTCGGTGAAATAAGCCTTTCTTAAGCTCACTTGACATTTTTAATAAAATATTGTCGATAAATTTTAGAAGCTGTTCTTAAACCACTAGTCCAGTTACTTTCGCTTTCAAAATTAGATACTATTCTTTAGTTATTTTTCTTTATTGAAAAATTTATTATATTATATTAATTTAAAAAACTGACTTTACCTCTAAAAATTGATTTTTATTTCAGGCAGTAGAACGTCAGCAAGCCTCAAAGTCCGCAGTTTACTAGGCAAAGTATGGGCGAGAGATAGCAAATCAAAATCCTGCGAAAATCTACACGTTTTGTAAGATAATTAAATATTAATTATTTGTGTTTTCATTATTTTTACGATGAGTTCCTTATTATTAGAATTTGATACCTTTTGAGTAGACTATAAGTTATAATATACTTAATTAAGAGTTAGGTTACCGATGATAAGAGTAAGTTATAGCAAATCTGTGTAATTAATGATGTGATATTAGATGTGAGACATATTTGATATCATTAACTACACCAGAATATTTTATACAATTTAATTTTTATTGACAATCAGTTGCATTTTTTCATTCACATAAATACAATTAATATACTGAATTATCATAATATAAATTATAATCATAATATATTAAAGACATTGTTGAAAACTAATGTCTTTGATAGGTATATATTATTTAAATATTTTATGAATGTTTGCATGCTGTTCTAGTTATAATTTTGTAGTTTTTTTTTTGTTTGTATAAAACTATTTGTTTGTGTTTGTTTTTTATTATATTTTTCACTTGGGGTCAAAATTGATATACAAAAAATGACATACTGTAATGAAAAAAAGTCAAATATACATACAATATTTTAATCATCTTGAGTCTAGATTTATGATAATTAAATAAAACACTCTCGACATCTATTTTCTCTCTCCCTAAAATTTGAGCTGAAATCAACGTTTCTTCCACACTCGAATTAAACATAATAAATCGCTTCCAGCAAATCCTATACTTCGTCTAATTTGCTTTACAAAAGGACAAATTTAGGCCCAAAACGTCCTACTACTCTCATGCTTTAAATATTTTAATACAGCTAATGAAATTATCCAGCTAGGACTTACCCTAAATCCATTAGAATGCTACAATGGCCAGAACATGAGGGGGAAAACGAGCAGAAGCCAGCAAAGAAAGCAATAGTCTGAGAGCCAGCAAAATGAACTGGATTTTGGCTAAATGTCTTGATTTAGTACCTAACTAATAACGGTGCGGGCGTAATTAGAAATGGATGGAATCTGTATAGCTTGGACATGAAAGATAAGGTTAGAACGGGGTTTGTTTCCTGCAAACAAAAAAAAAAATGGGTGTAGGAGCAAAATTATTCGAAATAAACTCAATAAACTAAATTATCTTACTAGAATTCTGGATTGCAAATTATTAGGAATAATTCTGATTGCAGTTAATTGCTTAAATTAATATGAATGGGTTTGAATATCAATCTATAAATAAATTTGAGTAAAAGGCAAGTGGACAATAATAAAGGAAATCTTCATTTCAGTAGAACTCCAATAAAATGTTTGATATGAAATTATACATAAACTATAAACTATATACTTGCTAATCATGGCGACCTCCTTGACATAAATTTCCAGGAGCGTCAAACATAGAATTACTTCCAAAGTCCTAGTTGGTGTGGTTTTCATTGTACCTACCACTTATGTTATAATGTTCTACTCGGCTTCATGACCCCAGACAATAGCCCCATTAGTAAGCATAGGGCTGATGATGGCTGTATAGATCCATAACTACCTTGGGGGAGAACCCCTGATCTCCGATGATGCGTCTATACTCTTCATAGGTGATATGTATTCTCTTAGTAATATGAGAGTTTTAAGTAAGTTTGCAATCAAGTGTTACTCCCAGATATTTGACCTCGGCAGCAAAGTTTAGTTCGGTATTTTAGAGTCTGGGTGCTGGCAAAAGTGCCAGTTTCCTTTTTCTTGTGAATAGGATTGCAGTCATTTTGGGGTTGATGGACAGAGTGTATTCCGTAAACAATCTTTCTATAATTCGAAGAGCATCTTGCATACGTTCGCAGAGCGAGATTTCAAATTTACCCTTTTCTTTGTAAAATGACTACGTCATCTGCGCAAGCTATTGTGTAGTGGTTTTCAATATTTAGGCGGACAATGGAGGCTGACCAGAACCATGTTCCATGGAAGAGGTGATAGCACACCTCTCTGCGGAGAGTCTCTTGTGACCATTCCTATAATATTGACATCCTTCACACTCACCTACTGCTATGTATTTACTAAATGTTTTGACAATAAAACATTAAAGCAGTTTACTGGACACAGGACTTTATTTCATGGCCAGAAAACAGATTACAAATACTATAAACCAACAAGGTTTGATTGAAACCGAATTTTCGCGACGAATGTAGTTCATCCAAGGATGAACCCATAGTTCGTCTTGTGACGTCATTATTTTGAATGCTGGCTAGAAGTTGCGTCCATATGCTTTCGACGAACTACGTTCAGTATGACGTCATAAGTTTCTCGCGAAAGTGCTTGTGTTCAAGAATCATGTAAGTAGTTCGTCGCAAAAATTCGGTTTTAAATGACCACACGACATGACTAATCTAGGACATAAAATTTCCTAACTTGCAGGGTTGCCAATTGTGGAGCACTTTTCCCCCCTTGAAAAAAGTAGGTAAGACTATAAGGTAAAGTGGGGCAAGTGCAGTCATTTTTTGTATAGTTTCGATGTTATGGCGTGAAAATATTAAAAAAAAAAAAACTCGCAGAAGGCTGTAACATTTTTTTCCTACGATTGCCTCTGAAAATGAAGTTTTTCGCACGTTAGGCAACCTCTGAAATTAGAGTTTTTCACACGCTTCAAGTTTTCTAACAAATGAAAATTACATATTTGGTTGTTTTATTTTGCAGTTGTAGGAAAATCATTGTAAAAAACTCGTTTGAAAACCTTTTTTCACACTTGCTCGACTTGTGGAACTCGCCTACGGCTCGGTCCAACAAACTGTCTCGCCGTGCGAAAAAAGTCGTTTTCAAAACTTGTTGTTTAAATAACTATTTTGTACACCCACACTGATGGTCTTTGAATTATGATATAGAAATTAGTATATATCATATTTGCAATGAGTTTTTTTTTTTTATAATTTGTTCTGATCATTGATTGCACTTTCCCTGTAAATCCGGGAAAGTGCAATCAACAACGGTTTCATCCAAATACATGCATGTTATTTTAGTCTGTAAAGTGCAATCAATTAGAGATAATAGCCACATGCAAAAAAAATATATATTCGACTGCATGAAAAATTGTACAGTAGTTTTAAACTTTTTAAGGTGGTAAAAATAGAAACTAAAAATTCTACTCTACATTTAAATAGTAACAATATTAAGTGAAAACAAAGCATTAAACTCTCTTTTAAATTAAACTATAGCTTTGGCATTACTTGATATAAAAATATTTAACTTATGAATATTTGTTGAAGTAAAAACGACCTGTTTTTTCTATTGGCATTTCGAGGATGCTTACAATCTGTTCACTTGTAATTAACGAAAGATCCTCTATATCTGGGAAAACGTGATGTTCTTGAAAATCGAGTTTTTTAACTTGGCGTAAAAATGATACATAATAAATTATTGTTTTCAAGGGACTCTAAAACTTTGCCAATGTAACATTTTCTTGTTTTTTTCGTCAAAAATTCTGTCAAAACGAAGTCCCCTACTACTGGTTGTTTTTCATTTGTGTGATTTTCCGTTTGTATCGGTGACCTTTGAAGATATGTGCTTGCATTGGCCCTTAGTAAGTCTGTAGTCTTATTTCCTGAGGATACTTTATCAGTTTCTCCATCTGTTGTTTCAATTTCTACATCTTGGTCTTCATGCTGAAAGACTGGATGCATTTTTTGTTGATTTGTATTATCAGAGCTTTCAGGTTCTTGGTTATCTTCGCAAATATATATACTTTCCTTGCTTTGTATGAAAATGTCCTGTATCTTTTTATTGGTTCCGGACGCGGACGATTTGATAGTCTGAATGTCTGGCAATTCAAAACTTAGATTGGATTCGGTGTCAGTAATTTTGTTTTTATCCAATTCAACATTGGAATTCTCGAATTCTGAAAAAATTTCTTCATCATCCGTGTCCATATATTCGGGCTCTGTCAAATCACTCTCTGAATCGGTATCTTGAATCAATATATGTGGCTTTATTTTCTGTTTATTTTTATTCAATTTCTCTTCATCGGTCTTTTGCTTTCCATTTTCCAAGTCGATATGTCGTTCATGAATTTCGACAGTTGTTATAACTTCTGCTCCGCCTGCTACGCGCTTTCTTTTTGTGTTTGTGCTGGTAACTTGTCGATTGTTTTTGACTGCATTCAACATCATGTCTTCAAATGATACAGTAGGCTGCTTTAGGAAGCTCAGGATCTGCAATATTATTAGGAACATTCTCATCATGCTCTTCCATAATTTCAGGAGTCTTTTTGTTGTGAGATTCCCAATATTTTAGGGCTTCATTACCAAACTTCTCTTTTAACACAACAAATCTGTTGAAGGGAACTATCCCCGCTTTTCGGAATCCACTGAAGATTATGTTTGATGATAGGTCCTTCCACGTTTCTCCAAGTAAAATGGAGAAGTCTTTCTTAGGAATTCTTGAGCCACTATGTTTTCTTTGCCAAACACATAGTTTTTGATCCCACTTGTCTTTCAAGGATTTGAACACGGCTAAGACAAGCGGTTGTGGTAAATGACTAGTGTGCGGAGGCAATTTAAGTATGTTAATATCCTGTGCTCTTGCAAGAGAAATAACTTTGTCAGTTACATGAGTTGCGTGCCAATCGTAGATAAACAATACTGGTCGATCATTTCCAAACTCAGGAATCAGTTTTTTTTCTAAATAATTGCAGAAGATTTCGCTTGTGATCCTGCCATTTTTGCTAGCTGTGAATGACATATTTGGATAACCTTCTTCTTCTCTAGCTGGAGTCCAACTGCTCCAAACATTTAGGCCTTTGAAAATAATAAGCGGTGGAGCCTTTTTCCTAGCCGCATTAACAGCAGCTAAACAAGTGATGTTTTCTTTTCCTGATCCCCTTTTGTTCGTGAATAAGATTTTCCTTTTTGTCTAACAATTTTTGTTTTCGTTGGATTGTTGCATACACTTGTTTCATCGTCAGTTATTTATGTAGGAGGTCAAAATAGTTTTGAATGACGAATAAATCAGTCATTTTTTTTTTCTTGAAAACTCTACTGCTTGAGGTTTTTTAACTGACAAACCATGGCGTTTTTTGAAATTTAG